AAGGGGGAGCACAATTTGCTAGCATTTTTCTTAACTACTTAACGCAGCACATATGCTAACGGGATAAAAATGCTGTTATGGTGGCTTTCAGGTATATGAGCTTTAAGTGAAGGTCACTAAGGGTCACGTAAGTCTTTGTCATGGGGCCCCTTTACCAGCTAAACCCCCATAATGCTCTCTGCTCACCAGCATTTTTAAAAAAAATCGATCAGTCTCACTAAACAAAATCTAAATTCTTCGTTTATGTCCACCGTAGAGCAGAACCCAAGCGATACAAGTTTAGATTAATTTTCCAAACCAACAATCTGCAGCGTTATCAACCAATAAACGACACTTGATTTGGGCCGATACAGGAGCAATAATCAATACCAGATCATATTAAACACACTCGCTGAGGCCGGAGGTCACTAAACACCACAGAAGTCTTTCTCATGGGGCCGCTTTAACCAGCTAAACACCCACAATGCTCTCTGCTTGCCAACATGAACTGGCTGTAGTCCTGGTGTGAAACAGTAAGAGGCTCCACCTGGTGGAACAATCAGGTACTACAGCCGATCATCTTTCAACATTCATAAGCTGCTAATCATTTACATTGCTAATTTGCAATTAGTTTGTGAGCGATGCATGCTCACAAACCTGCATACTCCAGCAATCGCAATTATTATTTTTGACTTAGCTAGTTAGTCACATTTGACTACCTTGTCTCCATTAGCGCACCATCAAGCCATTAAAAAATCCTAAACACAAAAATGACAAAAAAAAAAAAACAGTTTGACGCTCAAACTTTGTTTACGTTTTCAGCCGTTATGTTCGTACAAGTTTAATATGTTTGGCAGCTCATGATCATTTTCCGTATCAATCGATTGGTTAACGATATAAAAAGTCAGAAAATGGTGGAAAATGTCCATCAAATCACCAAAGATATTCAGTTTACTGTCACAGACAACAGAAAATGTTCACATTTAAGAACAACTGGACGCTAAACACATTTTGTGACATGCATGTGGGGAACACTGGGCTTCCATCTCCACCATTGGAGCTTCTCAACAGGCTTCCTGACCACCGACGGAACATTGCTAAATAGCCTGGGTGCCGAAATGAAATGTTCGAAAGCTATTCAGCTGTCAAGGGTACACGCTGGATTGATTCGAGTGACTTTAATGTACTTGCAATGTGCATTATCTTGGAATCGATTTTGGAGTCTTACATGACCCAGATTGGATGGTGGGTGGGGGGGCGGCCAGTACACGAACAGAACAAGACGGTGGGTGAATGAACCCTTCAGCTGAAAAATCCCATTTTTCTGGGATGAAGTATGTAAAAATATGCACAGTGCGAAATAAACTGCGGCCGGTCAGAGGTGAACGTGCTCCTCGGCTCGCTTCAAACATCTACTGTCGTCTTATCATGGAGCTGAATTAGCTGATAAGGAGGCCGGAGGAGAGCTGAGGGATGGGGGCGGCCCAGAAGACGGAGGTTTTCTGGGTTGCGTTGGAAGGAGATTTGTGTTGCCTATTAGAGGGGAAAACAAACAGATTCATCACCCCACTGCCGCCGCCGCCGCCGCAGGTTCGTCCATCTCTGTAGTCGTCTTTCTTTCCGTTGCGAACACAGCGTCCCTCCTCCTCCTCCTCCTGCATCCGCTCTGCTCTTACACAAATGTTTTGATGCTCCAGAACGCATCAATATTCAGGGTGCAAGCAGAAGGGTTCGGCCGCATGAATTTAAATGTCAAGTGCACTCGAGTAGGCAGCTGGCTCTGCACATTCCTGCTGCCCGCGCCGGCTTCGGCGGCTTGCTGATTTGTATGAGTGTGTTGTGGGGAAAGGTGCGCCGGCAGCCTCCTGACCGTTCTCAATTTGTTCCTCCGGCCCGCCGCCGTCTCCGACTTCCTCGCAGCTCATTTGCTTTCTGTCGACCGCCCCTCAAGGCGGCTGGGTCGTCAAGTTTATCCGAACATCTCAAAGGACGGAAACGTGCAACGGCGAAGGAACACGGGGAACAATCGGCGCAACCGCAATTTGTTCATAAAAAGGAGGACTTGTTATAATACGACTTACAGATGCAGCAGTGCCTCCAGCCTGCATTAGTCATGAGCTCAAACAAACACAGAACCTGTCGTGGCAAATGCAATTATCCCAACCGTTTGAATCATGTTTTAACGATGATAATATGACAGTTTTTCCTTTCTTCTTACTATTTTTGGGGGTTTTTTTGTTTCCTGGTTTAATCACTTGCAGCAGATTGTTCCCACAGAAAGTGAACGCCGCTTCCTGCCGAACGTCTTTCTGATTGAAACGCCGCGCCGCAGTCATCAATAAAACCCAGCAGGAGCCCAGCGGGGAGCCGACCTGCCTCCTTCTTCCCCGTACGTTGAAAAAAAAAGTGGTTCAACTTTAATCGAGGAGGCTGAAAATCCTCTTTCCTCTGATGGTGAACACACACACACACACACACACACACACCGGCGGTCCAGTTCAGCCTGAACGCTCCATTCATCACGAGTCCTTCTGAGGAAAATCTGCAGCCATTAACCTCTTTTCCTCATCAGGACCAAAACGGCCTCCGAGGCTTCGGGAGCTCGGCCAGGAAACGCTCACTGCAGCTTCTCGCTGCTCCTAAATCGCTCGTCTTCACACCGTCTGACCAACAGGGCGCGATTTCTACTGCCAGCACTGAAACAAGCAAACAGTGAAGCCGATGCGAAGGTTGCAGGAGGTTCCATATTTCAAGAGCAGCTCTCCAAAAAAGCCCGATTTCTCCTGTGCGTTAAACTGGACCGAGAGCGTTAAGCCACTTAAAAATATAAAAAGCTTGGTCTGAAACTCAAGATAAATGCAGAGAAGCCAATGCAAACAAAACGTGGTCCCGTACGCCTGGTTGGAGACGAGCGCCAGCATCTACGATCGCTTAATTTTCTTCTCCATATATTTGCATAAAAACTGGGTCTGTGGCCAAACGCTTAGGAGCTGTTAGTGAGATGAATGTGGCATCGTCAGCACGTGAAGCTCAGATGCCAAAGATAAAGAAATCAGATCGTAATTTAATGCAGATTCAGCAAATGTTGTTGTGTTTTAATAGATCTAATCAAGTTCTTCGCTTGAGTTTTTCCATTTTATGCTGCTTCCCTCTTTAGCTTCACTGCAGTTCTTATTACTTTAACAAATATTGTATTTTTTGGACTCTTTTATTTTACAGCAAGTTATTTGTCAGATTTAGATTTTACAGTTAAAACATGAATATGAAGCGTTGTGATCAATTAAAACATTCTAACGCATACTTTCTGCCTGTTATCTGTTTACTGTGAACTCCTTTATATGAATATAAAGAAAATGAATCCAACGTTAGCATTAACGTGCTAATTAAGACAGCAAGCTAATCAATCTGATGAAAGACAGCATATAGCTCCATGACACGTAACTGCTAGCTGTCTAGCTCGCTAGCCACATATCAACTCTTCTTTCCTATAGATTGTTTGTGCTCTTAGCTTAGTAGCTATAGCATTAGCACGGAATTGTTAATTAGTTTAGCAAGCTAAGAGCACAACAAATCTAACGAAGGACATCTCACAATGCCTCAGTGACTAGTAACTGCTAGCTGTCTGGCTCGCCACCTAAGCACATATATTGGTTGTGCTCTTTGCTTGCTAGCTATAACATTAGCATTAGCATCATAAGTACAAAGCAGCTAGTTATGTAGCTAGCTAGCTACTGACATATCAAGTACTTTTCCCTATAGATTGGTTGTGCTCTTAGCTTGCAAGCTGTAACATTAGCATTACCTTGCTAATAAGGCTAACAAGCTAACAGCCCAATTAATCTGATCAAAGACATCTTGGGATATCTTTGAGAGGCTACTGCTAGCTGTCTAGCTATCAAACGCTCCTCCTCATGTACTGCTTGCGCTCTTAGCTCGCATGCTATAAAATTAGCATTGACTTGCTAATTAAGTCCAAAACACAAAGTGAACTTGTTGATAAACTGCAGATATCTAATCGATAAATTGATCAGCAACATGTGGGCAAAACATTAACGAGAAGAACTTAATATGACAGAAACAAGCTTTGGGAGAAAGTTGACTCAGATGTTCATGAGCTAACGTGCAGGTAGCGATGCAGACATTTTGGCTTCACTTCTGGGTAACTGTCACGTCTGTGTTTACAGTCTGTGATCGACAGACGGAGCGGAAAGTGACAGAAACGTACGCATTAACGAGAATAAATCAGATTAACTGTCAGGCTCAGCCTCAATGTCAGACTCATTTTAAAAAACTCCCGTGAAGGCAGCAAATAAATTCCACTGAGCTCCATGATTTAAACCGAATTCATCAGGAAACTGTCTGAATAACATCTGAGATTCAGAATCTGCAGCGTGTTTGAGGGATCGTGCAGCAGCCTCCTAATGCTCTCTTGTGCTATTAATGTTTACAATATGAGAGGGGGGGAGAAAAAAAAACAGGATGTTCCCTGCAAAGTTCAACACAAAGAACACAAAAACAACACTTGTCCTCTTTATTTCAGTCAGCCTTGGTGGAGGAACCTCCTGAGAATCCGCCGCCTTGTTCTGCACTTTAAGTAAAACGAGAGCTGCTGTATTTTAAGAAGCACCGCCGGGACTCCATTTAGCAGCAGCTGCTAAATACGCTCCACGTACAACAGTCCTCTTTGGCAGCTGCTCGGTCATGCACGACGCAGCGAAAGAAAGCAGAGAATTAGTTTTTATTCATGTTTGGCAACAAGATGCACACACAGAGTCCACGTCGCTCGGCTTCTGTCGGAGTCCTGCAGTCACACGGTGGACGTGCAAACAGACTGAAAATAGCAAAGGCAGAAAGCACTGATTATGCCGGATGACTCATTTCTGAATAATACATATCATATTAGGGCCGCCGCTGGAGAATATTTTCATTATTTTTCAGCATAAAATGACAATAAAAAAAAGTGGGGGGAAAAAAAAAAAGCCTGTCGTGTCAGAGTCCACCGAGATGTCCAGAATCTGAATAGCTGGAAAAACGCTGAAGTCTGAGAAGCTGCAAACAGATTAATAATAAATAACACAAACTATGAAGCCATATTACTGCAGATTAAGCGACACAGCAGGACGTAAGCTAATTAAATTAGCTGCAAGATAAAAGCAATAATAAACCATTATTACTTAATAATGTAGTTTAAGTTTGTATATTTGTATTTTTACTTCCAGTGGAGGGTTGTTGTCCTGCAGTGCTGCTACTTCTACTTCATGTTATGTGTCGCGTCATCCTATAATCATTAATGCATTAGTAACGTGAATCTGTAATACTCGTGTCAAGTGCATCGAACCTCGTCAGCGTCGAACTTTTCCATCTCGGCTCCTCGCTGACACGATGCTTTTATTAGCTCCAGACCCTAATTCCTTTAAAAACCAGACCTTAACCCAAATATTAAATGTGGAATCTCAACACTCTTCCCAAAAAAAACGTGTCCTCTGAAGGTCTTCAACCTAAATTTACCAGCACTCAAAGTGAAGTTAGCGGCACTTTTTTTTTTTTAATGGTGCTCTGCTGCCACCAAGTGTTCAACATGCAGCATTTCTACCTTTGTTTTTTTTTACATTTTGAAGGTCTTATCTGAGGATTTAATAAAACCGAAGCACATGTCGTGTTTGTCGGATTCACAGTCAAAGGGAGACTAAACAATGAGTTCAACAGCGACATTCGACTAAATTAAATTTTAAAAAACCTGCTGCGTCGCCTGCATGCCGTATGAATAAACAATATTATCACACTTGATCTGCAGCATTACGAGTCCACATTCACAGTAGCTTCTCCTTCCCAGCAGCTGTTTTGTTCCAAAGCGATGGGAGTTTCTTCACCGTTGCTCCCTCGGACAGTTCGTCCACGAACGGTTTTACGTCAAGGAGAGCAAGTTGATGTCGTAGCATCCGTCCACCTGCGGCGACAAACAACAGAACGTCTCAGTTCACACGTCGGACACGGAGGCTTTCACTTGTTTCGTGTTGGACTGACGTCTACCTCGATGCACTTTTTTTTATTTCAGTTTTATTTCACACGTGACGAAAAAGAGCAACGACATTTCTGTTGGTGAAGCTCTGTTATGTGTTTAGATTATAAACCAGGAAGGAAAACGTCACTGATTCCCTCCAAAACTAAATCATTCATATAAATGCGCTGCAGCCAGCCGACCAATAGCTTGAACTATCTCCCGCTGGTTGACGAGAAAACTCTAGTGGTGATAAATGTCTTGAGTTTCGACGCCGTAATCCTGTGGCTCAATCCCTAACCGGCAGTTTTTAGCTAAATTCCTGATTTACGTCAACATTTGACAACATAAAGTACAGATATTAGTCAAAACCTACGCTGATATATCACATACTTCATGAGATTTTTGAAAAAAAAGTCCCTCAAGACACTTAAAGCACTCTTTATGTTCGATCAGACTCTGGATCGACGACACGATGAGAAGCAACCGAGAAAATATCAGGTTTTTATCTTTAATAGCTCCTGAGGTCGACGAGCGATTTCCTGAATAAAAAACATCTCGGCGAGCGGTTGACGTAGCCAGTCGAAATTAAACAGGAGCCATTTTGAACATTCGTAGTTTATGACGATAAAAGCTTCGAGCGAATCCGAGACGGTCGAGCAGAAAGTCGCTGAAGACTCGAGATGAAACAAGTTTGACCGCCGTCATTGCTTTTATGGAAACGTTTACATTTCTGTTTATCTTTATTAGAAATGAAGACAAAAACAACAACTATCGGAGGTTTACGGTCATCAACATGTGGGTTCTGCGGCACCGAAACCACGAGACGCCGCCGAAGAAGACGACGACGATTCTGGATTTTCACACACCGGCTGTTGACAAAAAGATGTGACGCAAATGTTTGTGTTCTTCATACAGACGACGGCAAAAGCCTCTCAGATCACGTCTCCTACATGTAGTTGGACGTCGCAGCTTTTCCGTTTGTGCAGCGAGGTTCAAGTACGAGTGCAAATGTATGATAAGGCAGGCAGCTTTTGAGGCTGAAAAAGCAGATTGCTCTTCCACTTCTGCGTCGTCTATTGACTGTTCAGGTGCTCAGGAAAATGCACCAGAAGGATTTTGTGTTTTATTTATTTCTCCTTTGACGGAGGAAAATCAGCTTGTGTGACATATTGATGCACTCAGCCCTCATCTGGAGCCTAATTTTGGCTCTTTCATGCCTCCTCCTCCCATTAGTGTCGGAAACGTGTGATTTTTTTCTTAAATATCTCCCTAAACCAGCTGCTTGTGTTTCAGCTCACGTCGAAGCGTCCGATGGAGGCCGTGGTCTGGTTGGTCTGCATCACCTCCGTCAGAGCCCACATCTGCTGGATGCTAGACGACACCGTCTGCGGGTCTGGGAGGCCCTGAAAGAAATCACACAGACACGTTATTTACTGTTTAAACATCTGATTCATACAGCTAGCTCCTCCGCTACAGCATCTGAATGAGGATGCTGGGAAAGCTTCACCTCCTCGTGGGCTAACAGCTCGGCTCTGTGCATTTTTCACATAATCTGATATTTTCTTAATGAGAATTAATAATGAACATATAATAAAAATCAAATCAGGAAATTTGAAGATTTTCGGCTGGCATGAATTCTTCACACCCCTCCTGGAAGACAAGCTCTAGCTGGGAAATAATTCATCGCTCCTTCATTTATTCGCCCAACAGTAGTTAAAATTGAATATATCGAGGGTAAAAAGCCGATGGAGCACGAGGGGAGGCTCTCATCAGGCTGAGAAAACCCCAAACTCTCAGAAAAAACACCGAGGATGTGACCTGGTGTCCTCGACGGGAGCTACAGCTGCATCCTAAAAAGCTTCTAGTCCAGGAACTAAAATGTTCCTTTAGATCGCTTGTTGTTTTCAAGAGACATTAAGTTCAGACAAATTAGTAGGAACATTTTTGCTTTACAGTCTAGTCGGTGACAACGTTGAGATAATAAACATTTAAGCCGCAAGTGGCGATGGACGGGTCCTCACCGTATGATTGTCGGCCTTCGCGCACATCAGGGTTCGGCAGAAATGCGCTCCAGGCGGGACTCTGATCCTGCGTGTCGAGTTTCGGCCAGATCAGAGCATGTGCGGCCCAGTTACGAGCCACTTCCTGTTCCTGTGTGTGGTGTGGCGTGCTGGCAACGCGCTCTGGTTTGGACTCGGAGCATGTGTGTGAAGTTTGATGCCAATTGAAGCACATACGGGCCAGTTACACAGCACGTCTCATATTTTGGGGATTTATGGCGTTGTGGCCAAATTCCATTGGTCGCCATTTCCACACCGTTAGACTTGTGCGGACACTTTTAATAACATTGAATCACCACCTCCTGTAGTTTGTGCTGGCCAAATTTCAAATGTGTACGACCTTGAGGTGATAGATTTTGAAAATGGCCAAAAATGAGCGAAACTCGCCAAAATTCTCACCGTGTTTTTTTCAAAATGGCGGACTTCCTGTTGGGTTTAGGGCTTGGTGCTTATCGAAGTTTTTGTGCGTCCCGACCTGCTACACATGCCCACCGAATCTTGTAGCTGTAGGTGAAACGACCTTCCGACGGGACTCCGTCGAATGCCAGAAACACAGCGAAAATGTGCGAAATGGCCATTGATCAAAATTGCACAGCCCACCATTTCCACGCCGTCAGACTTTTGCGGAGTGTTTTTAATAACTTTTAATCACCATTTCCTGTAGTTTGTGCCGGCCAAATTTCAGGCGTGTACGACCTTCCCTGTAGGAGGAGATAGATTTTGAAAATGCCAAAAAAATGGCCAAAAATGAGCAAAAATGGCCCGCAATGCTCAAAGTTTTTCCAAGATGGCAGGTTTCCTGTTGGGTTTACGAAAACACACAAATGGACTTTTTTTGAGCAGCACGAGTTGTTACACATGTGTACCAAATTTCGTAGCTGTAGGTGAAACGTAGTCCCCAATGGGAATGAAATATTGTAGGAGGCGCAGTTGAGCCATGTTGAATTTTAGAGCTTGGCCCAACTGGACTTTTTAGTTCGTCCCAACCTGCTCTATGTGCCTTTGAAATTGCATAGCTCTAGGTCAAACGTGCTTACGATAGGAAGAAATTTTCAAGGGGGCGCTGTGGAGCCATTTCGACAGTGACATGTCCAAGTCCCCTATAATGTTGCGATTGTCGCCAGTCCTGATGTGTTAGTGCTCGGACTCTAATAAAGCGACCGGTGACAAAAGTGAACGTGGAGGAGATTCAAGTCGAGCTGCTGCTTAAATCGACTTAAAGTAAATAGATTTTACAAACTAGCAGAGACGACTGAGACCAAGTGGCTGAAACTGAACTCTGTGAATCCCCAGAATGGACCACAGATGCTGCATCCCTAATTTCTAGGGAACTACCCCGCCACCAAGGGTAAAATCAATCATGTGTGTTTTTCCTGTAAAGGTTCCTCGTTGCTGTGGAAACATTTACCTCCAGGTCCGGGTGTTGGTCGACCAGAGTCAGGTCTGACAGCCAATCAGAAACCTCCTTCTCTGGGTCCTGGACAGGGAGCAAAACAGAAAGCGAGTTTTTTAATCCCTGCAGCTGATTTTTGTTCTTACACGGACGATATTTCTTCAACTTCACTGGAGTCGCTCCGAGCGGAGATAATTAATTGTCGGGATCGGACGTGTGTTTACAGGCGCCGAAGCGTTTAAACTGAATATATAGTCTTTGACGCGCAGGTCCACCTGCTGGGAAGCGTCTCATCTTCTGGAAGAACAACAACTTTATTGAGAAAATCTAATTAACTTGAAGGGAGAAAACGACGAAAGCATGGAGCCACGCTGTGTCCTGGAAACACAGAAAATCTCCTGCAGTCAAGAAAAGTAAACTGTTGTGTCGATTAAAGACCGAGAACCAGAGAATGAGACGGACAGAAGTGATCGGATGCTGGGATTCAGTAAAAACCAACTGGATTTCTCTTTTTTTTTTTTTAGGTTCTTCCGATTCTTCTGGAGCCTGATGGAGAAGTTCAGTTGCTTTTTTCCGAAGCTTCTGGGACTGATTCAGAGTCTCGGTGGTTACTCATCGCTAATGTTTTTCTATTTTACAGATTATTGATCCCTCGATGTGATCGTGCCGGTCTGTTCGGACATGCTGTTATTCTGATTATTAGTGGAATATAATAAGTACAGTCATTGTAAAACGAGATCTGACCCGTTTTGACATTCGACAGCAGTAAAAAAAACCCTAAACGTCGTTCTTTTGGCCCAAAATACACACAAATGTTATACTTTTGTACAGGTGCTACGAATGTTTTGCACAATGAGGCTGTTTGGGGTCAAATTTTTAGATTTTAGTTCCACCAGTCGAGGAAAGTGGTGCTTTTAGGGACTCTCGAAACTCTCTCATTTACATTTATTAATGTGACATCGACCGATTAGACATCCTAAATAGATCTGTAGTTTAAAATTTGGTACGGACACTTATAAATCATGAGCAGTATGTAAAGGCTAAAGATGCTAAAAACACATAAAAATCGGTAACTTGTGCAATCACACAACAAGCGTCTGAACAAAATCCACACGGACTCCCAGAGAACAAGGACGAGGATAAGTTCGATCCGGCGACTAAAACGCTCTGGATTGTCAGAAAGCACAAACCGGGATGACGCCTTTTGCTCAAATAAAACAGCAGACAGTGATGGCGTGCACTAAGTGGTAAACGGGGATTATTTTCATGTTTTTTTCTTGCTCCGGAGCGTCTTTCAGCTCCTCGTTTTGGTTCTAACATCGTGAAAAACGTCTCTCAGAACGGTGACGACGTGTTGAGTGTTTACAGACTAAACATCTCCTTCAGCTTTAACGGCTCCCGTTTATCATTCTGTCCAAATACTCGCTCAGCGTCGAAGCTTTGACGGTTACATTCAGCCGATAATCCGCTCAGGTGGCAGCAGAACATCCAAACGGCAACGCTTTACTCACTACGTGGATACAACAGCCTCCCTCTGAGCTGGCAAACTGAAAACCCAGAAAAGTAAAAGCTCTTCCACGTCACAGAGTTTATTCTCTCTGTTTTTTCCCCCCATTTAGTTTGTGATCAAGTTTACGCCCCCTGTTGGCTGAAATACAAACACTGACCGGCTCCAGGTGAGGGAAGATCTTGACGTCCTCCAGGCTGAAGGTGAGCCAGGCGGAGGACGGCTGCCTCAGGATCAGCCTCACCGACACGACGTGGTCCGCCTCCGCCTGCATCTGGCAGCAGCGAGGAAAGACACGGAGGGATTACACCAGAGGGACGGGGATGGATCTGAAAACGACAGTCATGAGGGCATCCTCCTCTGAGCCGGAGGAACATCGGCTAACGAAACACTGGACGGGGACGTTGCTTCCTTCCCTAAACACGACGTTGCACGATAACAAAGCGAGGACGTTCTCAATGCAACGTTTGAGGAGCACTTTTAGAGGAACTAAAAACAAAACATCGCCTGAACTTTGCAGAACTTTCTAGAACAAAACTTGATGTCAGATGAGCTCAGGAATGTGTTCTGTGCAGTGAGACAGAATCTTTTGGGATTATTTCTTTGACAATAATTTAAAAAACACATTTTCAAACATTTTCTCTAAGTGTTCACTGCTGCAAATGTGATGTAGACGTGACTGCAGAGATCTGTTTTCATACTCGTCTCTGCATAAACACAGCCTGCAGCTCCACCTCTCTGGTTTCTACGGTTTCTCACTGCTCAATGGAGCCATTTTGGCTCCGTTCAGCCGACGTTTGGATCGTTGCAGCAATAACACGCACCACAAGGTGATGCCAGGTCGTTAAAGTCTTCTCAGGACTGCAAACTATTCCCAGTGCTTCTCATTGTCGACACAAATTCTCTTAAATGAGCATTTTCACATGAACTCGCTGTGTGGTTTGTCATCAGTTACACAAATGCAAAACATGTTAATCAACAAAATAATAAGCAACACACCCCCCAAAAATATAATTATCATGTAATGCGAGCAACACACACTAACCGAGATAGTTGTGATTAAGTGTGTGGATCATCATCTCAAAGTTTGAAGCCTCTCACAATAAAAACAACTCAAATTTTAGGACATTTTCTGGAGAAAGGTTTAGCAGGTTTCTAGTGCATCCTCCTCCTACCTGTTCATTCTCCTCCTGTGCACTTTTAACTGAACATCGTGCCTAAATAATGTGATTTACAGGCCAAGCTGCATAGAGAATGATGTGTTTTTGAAGTAATTATCACTGAAATGGAAGAAGGAACAGTTTTTTTTTTTTTGTCTTTCAGGTTCAAATCCTGCTGCATAAAACCGCCGCAGTAACGCAGCACCATGAACATCCCTTAAGGCTAAAGATGACAAACAACAAGCCGTAAAAAGTGAATGAACATCGCTTACGCTGTCACAATTAGCCTGTAAACCCGTCAGCCTCGGAGCGCCGTCTCAAGTAAACACAAACTAAATCATCATTCACCAGCTGGCTCTGTTTGCTCAGAGAACAAACGCGGAGAAAGAAAAGGAAAAAGAAGTCTCCGCAGATCGACATCACGGCGACTCTTGTGCCTTTTCTCGCTGTTAGCTTGACGCCCGGTGGGACGAACGCATTCACAGAAGTTCAGCTGCAGTCGACAGAAGACGGAGGGTTTTCTAAAAGGGAAACATTCAGGAGACTATTTCTGTTCTGACTGAAGCAAAGTGTGACGAAGAAATACAGAATCATTTGTCCTGCACATTTTGCTGCTGCTGTTCTGTTAGCATGTTTGCTAATTATAAGAGGAGTAAAAAACACCTGAGCCCCTTTAATCAACATGAAACAGGATGCCCTCGAGTCATAATAACACAGCTTCAAACCCAACAGGCGAATAAGTTCCACTAATTCAAATCTGAATCATGTATTTTAAATTGGCGCAACAACGCTCGCAGCTTTCAGCAGACAGAGCTGAGAACAGGCTTAGCTGTTAGCATAGCATTAGCCGCTGTGAGAGGAGCTAGTTTCCTGGTTTCTTGTTCAGTTTTTCCAGTTTCTGCTTGATAAACACTTCTGAGACCTCAGAGTGACGACAGACAGAGAGAGGAGGCTCATCGCACCTGAAGTAGAGCATTTAGTTCATCAATAATCAGTCAATTATTATACAGATATCAATAATCCAAGGAAAAAAGGAAAAAAGTTGGCCGTGATAATTGGCCAGGCGATCATCAATAAATCAACAACACAATAAAGTTTATCTTATCTTAGCCTACCTTAGCTTAGCTTAGCGTATCTTAGATTGTCTTATTTTGTCTCAGCTTGATTGTTCCAATCTTAGCTTCTGTGATCCCATCTTATCTTATCACAGCTCATCTTAGCTTAGCTCACCTTATCTTATCTTACCTTCACTTAGCCTACCTTATCTTAGCTTAGCTCATCTTATCTTAGCTTATTTTAGCTTAGCTTAGGTCATCTTATCTGAGCTCATCTTATCTTACCTTATCTTAGCTTAGTTTATCTTAGCTTAGCTTAGCTCATCTTATCTGAGCTTCCCTTATCTTAGTTTAGCTTAGCTTATCTTAGCTTATTTTAGATGATCGTCTCTCAGTTTATTTTGGCTTATCTTACGTTATCTGAGCTTAGTTTATCTTAGCTTGTCTTTGCTTATTTTATCATATTTTATTTTAGATGATCCTTTCTTAGCTTATTTTGGCTTAGTTTATCTTATCTGAGTTCATCTCATCTTATCATAGCTTACCTTATCATAGCTTCACTTAGCTTACCTTATCTTAGTTTAACTCATTTTGTCTTATCTCACCTTATCTTACCTTCGTTCATCTTTTCTTATCTTAGCTCATCTTATCTTACCTTCACTTAGCCTACCCTATCATATCTTAGCTCATCTTATCTTAGCTTATCATAGCTTTCCTTAACTTAGCTTATCTTACCTTTGCTCATCTTTTCTTATCGTAGCTCATCTTCCCTTATCTTAGCTTAGCTTAGTTTATCTTATCTTATTTTATCTTATCTTCTTGTCTTATTTTATTTTGTCTTATCTTACATTAAATCAAGTCTTCCTGGTTTACTTCCCCTGATGAGTTGGATTGATCCTGTTCTTTGTTCTTTCACCCTCCGCTACCCGTCGCCCTGCCGCCCACCTGAGTCCTGTGGATGGAGTAGTAGTCTTGGGAGCCCCCCTCGGTGTGGGGGTTGTCCATCAGCGGCAGGTCTCTGAGGGCCGTGCACCACTTGGCCGGCGCCTCCTGACCGGGGCTCCTCCTCAGCAGGCGCACCGTCACGTAGGCCGTGTAGTAGTTCTTAAAGGTGATCTCCTCAATCTGAAACACAGGCGGGAATGACATGAAGCTCCTCAGTGATCTCCTGGATGAAACCAAACTTACAGTAAATCAGGCTCGTTAGGCCACGTTGGCGCCTGGAGGAATTTGCCCGCGGACCGTCTGGGGTCTTAACCTGTTGTTTAAGCAACAGCGAGTCCGCCAGATTAACATGAAAACCCAAAGTCGGCAGAGGCGTCAGAATGCTTGGTGGAGATTATTCCTTTGTGCACAAGCCGGCTCCGGGCGGACGCCTTTGAAGCTCGCAGCTTTGAGCTAATGAGGAGTCGCTCTGCATTAAAAGTGATTTTTAATTAGGACTAAATGCCGAAAAAGTAGGTCAGCAGCCCGAAATGTTTCGAGCGTCTCCGCAGACGGAGGCGCAGCGTTGTACTAAAACAAATGTTTTTGCATGTGTGTGTGTTTGCTGGTTTATTAGCTGCCAGACGGAGGGATGGTGAGAAAAACCAGGGCTGAGGAGACTTTTAGCTGCATGTTGGGAGAAAGAAAAAACACAAACCAGGAAGAGATCACACACATTATTCTCCTGCAACAGTACATTTAGAAACCAAGCAGGGCAGCGGATACGCATTCTCATTGCTGAGTCTTGATCAGTCATTTAATTGGGTTGTTTATCTTTTTGTTTATTTAGCTTTTCCTTGACTACGTTTTGATGTTTTTGGTATTTTAATGCAGTTAAATGGATGCGAGGCAGGAAGCTCATCAAGCGCCTTGTGTTTGCAGGAAATTTGGTGATTTTCTGTTTGTCTCCAACAGTTTTTCTGCTTTTTTGCAGCATTTATGGATTTTGACATAAAAAAATGATGCAAATAAGAGCGACAATATGATACTGGAATAAAAATATACTCAAACTACTAAAAGTAAAGGCGCTAATCGTGCAGAATGTTTTATGTTATATAACTGGGTTACGACTATTAATGCACTATTGTTTTTGAAACGTTAATGCTGCAGCTAATAAAGGTGGAGATTTAGTTCAAAATCAATCCGATTAGACAGAAATGCAGCAAATTAAAACATCTGAGAAACTGGAACCAGAAAATATTTGGAACTATTGCTGGAAAAAATGATTGAACGCAGCACATGTTGGTGTTTTTAACAGGCTTTCCGACAGTTACATGATTGAAAAACTGGTATTTCAGACTCTGATAAAGAACCTAGACTCAGTGAAGTCACTGTTTCATGCAGCTACCTGCTCATTTTGCTCCACTATTTTCACTAAATCAACATCCTAAGTTTTTATACACTGGCAAAAAAAGAAGCAAAATTAAATTTGTTGGTGTGACAATGATTCTTCTGGATGATCTGATTCATTGTTTGGTCTTTAAAATGTCAGAAAAAACATCCAAAACCCAAAAATAGTCCGTTTACTGTCACTGGGGAGGAAAGAAACCGGGAAATATTCACATTTAGGAAGCTGCAATCAGACTTTTTTTACTCAAACCAGTGAATAAATCATCAAATCAGGATGCGATTAACTGAACAGTTGACAACTAATCGATCAGCTGATTAATTGCTGTAAAGCATGAAGTGCATTTCAGACCAAATCCACAGCGTTTGAAGTGGACGTCAGAAACCGTGCGGCTTACGTTGACGGGTTTTCCGAAGGGCAGGTTGACGTCGACGACGCAGACGCCAGAGTGAGCCGTGTCTGCTTTGCCGTCGCCGATCTGCAGGTAGACGGGAGGTTTGATGGTGCAGCTCACCGGCACGACGTCCTCGGCGCTCCCACTCATCCTCTGGAAAACAGGGAGAAGCTTCAAGGTACGGCCAAGGAAGCACAACGACAACACTTTCAGTTTGGTGAACGCTAAAGAAATTTGAAGGAAGATTCTGTAAGAAAAAGTTTTCAGGTTGAACTGCAGCC